TGAAAAAAAAATATTACAATATATTGAATGTCTTGCGAGGCCTAATTTATCTACCAAATCATATGTGATTAAATTCACCGATTAAATTACTTAAATTAAATTATTTCTTTTTGTATGAAGCATTCAACGACGGCATACCTACAAAAATACTACGCATTTTCTGATTGCAACTTCCTACGATTATTAAGATATTAAAAGCAAATTAAGTTAAATTATATACATATATAAATGGTTATACAGCAAATATATTTAAAAAAAAACGCATTAAATAAAACATGCTTGCTAATAACGCTGTCGTACAGTCTGAAGTTGCAAAAAATCTATTGCCAAACAGTAAACCATAATTTGTGCTTTTAAGTTAAACAATTTAAATAAAAAAATCTCAATTTCCGTTTAAGTTTTTGCTTTTTAATATTACGACAAAAAGATATACATATAAATATATACATAAATATGTATTATTAAGTGGCCACTGAAGCCGCTAGTGATTGCAATCAGGTGGAAATTGAACCTAAAACTAAGGAGGAGCTTAAATTTTGTTAAACCGCTTTATGGAACACACAAAAAATACATGCGGGTAGGTGAGTTCATTTCTCCACTTGTTCTTGCAGAAGTACTGGACATATTTTTTATTGGTTTAGCGTTACTTCATTGCTTGAAAGAAATATTCAAGGCTGGAAGAATTATTTGACCAGCTTATTAGCTACATCGCCATCGCCAAAGCAGTGGACATTGAATATTTAAATTTTAATAAAATCGGTAGATTTAGCATGAATCATTGTAATGAAAAATATTATCATTTATAGCATTATGTGTGGCTATATGTGCGTATACAGAAGCAACTGCTGTGCAAACGGAATTAATGTATCGCTTTGTACAAAACAGCTGTGATTAAAAATAAACTACAAAGTAATTATGAAAATCTTATCAACATTACAGCTTGACCAACGCAATAACCCATCAAGAGTACTAACCGAGACGAAGTTAAGTACATGCATAGTTCATACACACACATGCCTACAAAGAGGTTTTTAAAGCTGGACTGGATATACAAGTTTGTATAAATGTTATAAGTTTTTTCAACCGTAAAAAAAAATATTTATATTATGTTTTTGGCTTTTTATACCTTTCTTGAACATGAAATGGTGTACTATTTTAGAACCGAGGTATATAAAAAGCCAGAAACATAAGAAAAAAATGTATACCAATCGAATTAGAATGACGTGCTAAGTTGATTTAGTCAAGTCCGTCTGGTTGAACGCAACTAGTTCCTTTAGTTTTTGCGCTATTTCAATCAAATTTTATACGCAGTTGTATTTTTCCCCTATTTGGAACATTTGCGCAAGCGGCAGAACGAACCACTGTAACATATATAATACCGTAAGCAACCGACTTTTTCAAATACGAGATACAGGGTACAAAAATCTGGCAAAAAATCATGAAATTTGGTTTCTACACACGTAAATTTAAATTCTCATAAATATTGGCACTGAAAATCAACGAAATTGGACAGTTTTACCATACAGCCCCCCACCCAACCGATTTGCTGGGACATGAGAACACAATAAATTTGATATTTTCATAAAAGGTATAACGACTTCGGCAACCGCTCTTCTTGTGCTAAAAGTTAGTCAGCAAAATGTCTATTTGTTTGTATGAATTGAATATTTTTGTTAGAAACACAACAGCGAAAAATCATAGAGACGACAGCTGTTTCGGAGACCACCACATTTCCTCATCCGACTGCTTCTGACAGGGATCGAACCAACGGTCTGACTTAACAGGCGAGTGTTCTCCCACCGAGTCGACATTAGCTATGTAATCTATTCCTCAATTCATTATTAACCAACAACTGTTAAAACTATTTTCCGCCATGGAGAGTAATCCTGGCAATCCCATCAAACTGTCACTGATATGTTTAAAGTCGTTGAATGCATCTTGTAATAGAGTGTTTGACAAGTCAGCACAACTTCCACGCGAGAAAATTTCACTTAAGTCTATGTTACTTTGAATTTGAACTCGAGACCTTGTACGTAACAGCTGAATAATGCTCAGTTTCACCATAATTCAACTTTTTTATTTCGTTTTCAGTGCACATTATATTTTAAGTAGCGATATTTAGTGGAGTCTCGAGCCTTTGTTATATGTACATGATGTTTTTGTTGGCCGTAAATTACATATTTAATTGTCTTACTTCCAATTGTCATCACTGATCTTTGTCCATATACCTACACTAGTTTATTACGCATATACACACGTACATATATGCATAGATATTTAAAAAAAAATCCATTCAAATATCTTTTTTTTAATAAATTTCATTTTTGCTCACTACATACATACATATGTACATCGGTCTACTAAAAATCGTTAAGAAATGCTCAAAACGATAAAGTGCTTTACTATAAAACTGGAAAGGAATTAAATGTAATTATCACTAACTACTAGTAGTTACTTAGTAGCGTCTGATCGTACTTACATGCATACATGCATATATATGTATGACGAGGCTAAAGTGCAACAGTTTTTACAACTTTAGTGCAGTGTTAATTGCATCTCAAAAAATATGGTGCACTTTAAATTTAATAAAAATTCATTTAATGTTAAAAAAAAATTCTCTCGAATCGTTCTAAAATGACGGTGTGAAGTTTTAATGTCTCTAAAGCTTTTAAATGTCGAGAAAAACTAATGGCATCATGACTAAGACGCACGTATGGAGACGTTGAAAACATTTTATTTTGATCCTCTTTTCATCTGTCTCAGGCGGTGCCGAATCAACAATCTTTTCGCTATTTGGCGTCAATTCGAAACTCCAAGTGAACACTGACCGGTCTCTACCTGATTCTTTCAACAGAGGGAAGACCGTCCTCCTTCTCTGGTTCAACCAATCAACGTATACTGGATCGATTACTTTCAAGGCTAAGATGCTTTCCTCCAACCGGACGACATGACCTAGTCAGCGTAGCCACTCTCATCTTATTCGCCGAATTAGGTGAATGTAAGCCGCAGTAGCGGAGTGGTTAGCCTTGTGTACCAACTGTCAGATTTCCATGTTTCGAGTACTGGTCTGATCAAACATACAAAATTATGGAAAAATATTTTTTCTAATTGCGGTCACTTCTTAGCAGAGAATATCCACCTATCTGAATGTACTTCTCAAGTAAAATAAAAGCTCCACATAAAATGCCATTCAAATCCGTTCAAAAACGATTAAAAATAAACTGTAGGTCCCTCCATTTGCTGTAAAAACATAATGATGCACATCCCGAATTGGAGGAGAAGCTCGGACGGAAATCACTTCAGCGATGACAAAGCGCCAATTATATATGTATATAATATATATGTACAAGTCAAGTAATTCATACATCAATTGCATAAAGGACAAAACTCCAAAAACTCCTCTCCAGCATGGGTCGCCAGATTACCTCCTTGGTTCCTATTGTACATCAGAATACTCTGGCCTTAAACTTTCTGTAAATCGCTACATCCTTTCATGGAAATTTCGAATACAAAATGGAAGAATTAAGCAATGAGACTGATTATTATGCCGAGATTGTGGTAACCCGTCATACTTCTCCTCTCCATTGATATATTTGCCATCGCTGTGGCTTGTTTAGTTCGCCTGCTGTGTCGTGTTGAATAAACGTGTGTTCGTGGTGTTCATCACGTAAATGGGAAAACGAGAAATCAAGGGCAGAGCGTCACAATAAAATTTTGCTTCAGAAACGTACGCTAAAATTCTGCATTGTAATAGTGTTCCTAGTTCACAATGGTTGTCTCTAAACGCCCCCCGCCCCCCAAAAAAAAGCTCGCATGAGCGAGTCGAAGGTGAAAACGGTGATTATTGCCATTTTTAATGCACGTGGAATCGTACACAAAGACTGTCTTCCACCGGGGCACACCGTAAATCAAGTCTACTATCGCCAAGTACTCGAAAGATTGCGAAAACGAGTCAACAGGGTACGCCCAGACATCATTCGTAACTGAAAGAAAGTCAATGGAACCCATTTTAAGTCGATTGCGGACATCCAGGCAGCTGTGACGAGGGTACTCGCGGACATCCCAGTCGAAGCGTTCCAGAGATGTTATGAAGCATGGAAAACGCGCTGATATCGTTGTATAGCTGCCCAAGGGAACTACTTTGAAAGGGATGGTAGATTTGTAGCATCATTTAGATATATACGGTTTTTATGGAATCAATCTCATTACCTCGTCTCGTATTACGCCTGTCGACCAGCTTCTCAAGCTCTTCATACCTACGCATTTCTGTCTCTTTCTCTATTTATCTCAAATGCGTCCTGCTTTTTCTTGAGTTCCCGGTATATATCCGCACGTATTGTAGTCGATTGCAACGTCGCAAAGGAAGCGATCTGTTTTCTCGACTGTAGCTCGACATTGCTCATCGCACGTCAATAGCACTAGATACGTGTCGTCCATCTATCATAGCATAATCGATCTGGTTGTGAGTTCTACGATCTGGAGTCAGTCAAGTGACTTGATGAATTTTCTTGTGCTGAAATCTAATAATGCAGACACTTATATTACGGCTCCTGAGATAGACGATCAGCCTCAGCCTGTTGCGCGATGTTTGATCGCAGAATTGCCAACTGTTTGCCCTCCTGGGCATTAAATTGCCAGGGATGATTTTGACATCAAGGCGGGCGGATTTCTTTTGTACGGGTGTGGGAGCGAATAAGCGATATGTTCAAGAACTTTGTTTTGATGCGGATTATGACTAGACGTGCATCCACCGGAATGAATGCTAGGACGCAACGACGGAGTCTCACTCCCACCACAAATCCATTATCAAAATTATTATTTTATATGGCCGCTAAAGTAGATTTCACATTGACTCACTTTCTACCGACCTTATCTCACATCCACTTCTCGGAGGTTTTGGAGGGATTTTAGTGATTTTTCATTTACGTGGGGTTTTTTATGTGGTTGGACACAAACCTCACACACAACCTCGGGTAGTTCGCTTTATCACTTTTGCTCTCCTCCAAACGGATGTTGGTTATCCACAGAATACTTGGTCTAAGAACGGAAGCCGTTAGCTGCTTAAACCATAACCTCGCTTCTGGCCAGGTTTCGAGGTGATGTAAATACTTTCCTCAATTGCTTGAACTTCTACACATGACTCCATCTGCGCCATCCACTATACATATTGTGGAACTAACACACTTTCATTATTCTATGATTAGGTTTTTCCAATGAATTTCTCTTTAGGCAACAATTACAATGTATCTTTTTGCAGATTTTACGGTCCTTGTTTTTCTTATCACTAAAATTATCTCTTCTAAATCTACTTTGTTTATAATCCATAAGCTGCGAGAGATTAGTGTTTTAATATATCAATAAAATGAATTTCGAATATTCGATTTGGGTTTATGAAATCAAGGCACTACTCGCTAACGATTAGTTACTGTAATATGCTAGCGTGGTGAGCACGCTAAGCGCGATTAAAACGGGTAAAAGCGATAAAGAGAGACAAAGTTCATTGTAGTACACCAAGAGCAACGAAAGTAAATGTTTGAAAAAGTTATTTGTGCTCTAAAAAATTGTTTTTGTTAAAAGTGTTAAGCAACTTAATTGTTTTGTGGCGAGAATTTATAGGAAAATGTCAGTATATTTCATAAAAATTAATATATTATTTGAAAATTCTATTGCACTCTAATATAAAATATATTTCACTTAAATCGTTAAATTTTATAAAAAAGCGTTTTATTTGCTAGAGAAAAAAATCAGTTGTCTTTCCGCTCTACAACACAAAAATCGTCTAAAAAATGTAAATCATCAACACACACTATTAAATGATAAGAGTTATTGGGCTGGGTCGAACGCTTATCAATGCGCGCTGCGCTGCCTCTGCGTAATGCAATTGCGACATCTATTTTATAAAAACAGAATATTCTTATTTGCTTTTTTTTCCTTTCCAGCTTCAATTAGTTAGTTAATTGCGCCGAACTTAAACTGCAAATATGACTAACGCCTTGAGCCGCTTTCTGACGCCGGTCGCTTGCAACTGCAAAGATTTCAGCCATCCATGGACGGAGAGCTGTGCAAATGCATCGGCAGGCATACTTCTGTCCGCAATACCAACAAGTTTGCGTATCTACACCATGGTCTATGCGGTAAGCTAATATTTTTCTTAGTCTAACTTTGTTGTTATTTTTTATAAATAATTTTCTGGTATTTTTTTTTTTTTTTTGCTTACAGCTATCACTCATTATGCGCCATCGCATACCCAATCTCACCGATCTCAAACATACACTGCATGGCATATTGCAATCATCCGCTTTCCTCGTCTCCAATAGCTACTCATTCATCATGTTCAATTGCCTGTTACGTAAAATCATCGGTCACTATTATTGTGCCACAGTCGCTTTCATACCCAGCTTCATCTCCAGTTTTGCATCGATACTTGTCGAACGGCCCGCTCGGCGGCCACTTCTTACACTTTACGTAGCAAATTTGGCTACCGAAACGCTGTGGAATATGGCCGAAGTACGCGGTTATGTACGCTCTATACCGCAAGGTCAAACATTGATCTTTGGCATTAGCATATCAGCATTGCTGTATCTCTATCGATTAGGCCTACATAAGACTACCTGTAAAGATTCACTTTTCAATATTTTACGCTTTTTTGTGGATAAAACCGAGGAGGGACCAATCAAATCCATTACATCAAATACATCAGAGGCGTCAACATCTGCTAGCGCTGCACAGCGTTCACGTGCGCCGCTGGATTTCCGAAGCATAAATGTGCTTGTACAGTTATATAGTCGCTTCTTGGGTGCGGTGAAGAGTAAACATGCGTCGTGTCCGCATCGTGATATGTGTTGGCGTTATGCGCTAATTGGTGGTCTGAAACCGTTCGTTGGTGGCGTGGGCCTGCAGGTGACGCTGCGTTTAGTTATGAATTTCAGGAAAATTGTACAATTCAAATTTAACCCAAGAAAGGCACTATTCAACAAGGATACGCTCAATTTGGGCATCTTTTTGGGCTGTTTTTCATTTATTTATAAGGTAAGCTAGGTGAAAGATCAAAAAGAAAACTTTCGATTTATTAATTTGTTTCTTTTTTTTCTATCATTTACATGTATGCATGCATCTATATGTTGTTTTATTTATATTGTAATCTCCTCAGAGCGTCTCCTGCACGTTGCGGCACAGCTTTGGTCGTGATGATCCACGTTTTGCAATACCCGCAGGTCTCTTGGCAAGTGTTGCGTTCACTAAATATCCCGATGTTACTGTGGCATTGTATGTGATGTGGAAAGCACTGCAAGTAAGTGAGAAAGTACAGTTTTGAAAATTATTTTGCACAATTTAGCACATTCATTTCGAATTACTTGCTCCTCTAATTCTTATTTGTTCTTTTTTTTTATCTACTCCACAGATATACTACGATTTGGGCATTAAGGAAGGAGTTTTGCCTCACATATCCAATTTTACGCTCCTCTTATATTCCTTCTGCACCGCTATACTGTTCCATGCTGGTATTCTGGAGCCAAAAACAATTCGACCAAGCTACTTTAAATTTCTACAAGCGATTTCTGGTGATAGGTAAGTGTAAAAGAAACTGCATTAATTCTTACAACAATATTACGGCTGATTAGATTAAATCGTACCAAAAAAAATCGGTTCCCAATACATAAACATCTAAGTTGGGTTAACTTCGCTTGGATGAGTGCATAAGTTCGTGCCCGATTCCGCTGGATGCCGTTCGAATCGTTTGAGAGTGGCGCTCGTAAAAGAAATATATACATATTATATATCGTTGGAAAGGTGACATTCCCAACTGTAAATCAAGCATAAAACAACTTCATTTCGATTTGAGTTGCTTAGTGAAAAGACGCATGGAAGAAGGACAACGAAAAAGATTATATGCGTCATATTATGTTATACGAATTCCGCAAAGGAAAAACAAACAGTAGGCGCTGCAACTAAAGATATTCGCGAAGTTTACTTGGACCGTGCTCCAGCACTCCGCACAGTAAAGAAATGGTTCGCGAAATTTCGTTCTGGAGATTTTAACCTCGAAGATCAACCTCGCAGTGGACGGCCTTCTGAGCTTGATGACGATGTTCTAAGGACTTTAGTTGCGAATAACTCACGTATTTCGACGGAAGAAGTTGCCAGAGAATTAAACGTCAACAAATCAACTGCGTTTCGTCGTTTAAAAAAGCTCGATACATGGGTGCCACATCAGTTGAGTGAAAAAAACAAAGTGGACCGTATGTCAACAGCAATTTCTTTGCTTTCTACGGATCAAAAACGAACCTTTTTTGGATCGGCTCGTGACTGGTCATGAAAAATGGATCCTGTACAATAATGTTCAACGCAAAAGAACATGGAAACAGGCACACGAAATCGGTCACGAGCTTGTGCACTCATCCAAATAATAAAGGATGGATCGTTAATGGTAAATCGGTTTCAGATAATTTTGTTTAGAAACAAGTTTTGCAAAAAATTTTGAAGCATTTCATTTCAGTCCTCTGTTACGACGTAACAGAGGACAGAGGACTGAAATGAAACTATAGGTGTTATGACTTTGTTGTTGTAGCGTTTAGCAAGCTCAGTTAGCATCATCAGTCATCGAGATTACCTATCCGTAGGTCCAGGAAACGATCTATTTCGACGGGTCCCGAAAAGAAGGAATTTTCTTATCTAAATTAATTTTCTATAATTTTTGATTTTGGTCGGATAACAACAACTACGGCATAAATACAAAGCAACAAAACTAAATTCATTGGGTACATGCAGCGAACTAAGCGCTCAGGAAACATGTTCAGTGAGCGATTAATTTTCATGATCGTAATGCTACTTCAACTGCTAATTGTGAAGTGGCACAGTTCCTTCATAAAAATGTTTGGTCCTTTCTTTTAAATTTCTTTCTTTGAAAAACTGTTTATCTAGTGCAGATGGCGCAACTAAATCTATTTGACAACCCAAAAAATCTAGTAAATTGTCGTCACAAGCACTTTCAAGTGAAAATACTTTTAAAATTTCCCGATTCATTTTTTCTGTATACAGCAGTTGACCGATCAGTAGCAAGTAGCACAAAAATTTTACGGTCACAAATGTGGTAAACGCTCACTAATCATTGCGTTCAGGGTCCGCTCACTGAGCATGTTTACTGGGCGCTCAGTTCAGTATTCAATTTTTAAGATTTATTGACCAATTCGTTTGGATTTCAAAATATTTGAATTCTTTTCTTTACCTTTCCTTTGTGCTATTATTTGTTTTTGTTTTTTTTTTCAGACTTAATCGATTTAATTTGGAGCCTTTCAATGTGTATGGTCAAAATGCCAGCGAACAAATGAAAGAAGTTTCTCGGCGATTAAATATTATTAACAAATCACCGTTACCAAAATGTTCGCTTGCCTCTTGGAAATAATGATACGTGTACGACAGTGACAACAATGATATAATAACCATGGAGAAACATACATACATACGTACATATAGAGAATATCAGACTTATGAAGGGTATAAAGTGAAACGATAATAAGAAAAATGGCTATTTGCAATATATATGTATGTATAATTGTAGGTAATGCTGTGACGAAAAATCTATATGTATATCAAAAAACCGGTGAAAAACCGGTGTAGAATTACAAGAAGTGAGAAAAAAGTAAAGGAAATAGTTAGGCCATTCACAAGCTTTGTCTTATGTCTCATGTCATATTTCAATTGGCTTCAAAAATACGACCCTTGTGAGCGCCCCTTAATCGTTGTATGTGCTGTGTAATACATATTTCTTCTGCCACACTCCACTTATGCACAGAGTTAAATGGCGGCATTTTGGTTTACACTGAACAAAATATTTTTATATCTCCCTTCTATTCGACTTGATTTACCTGAATATCGTGGAAAACAACAACAATATTAATAGGATAATCACAAAGAAATAAGACAATATGACGATGTGACACAATATGACACCTCGTGAATACCCTAAGTAATTCCTAAAATGTATTAAATAAAAGTAATAATAATGTATGATAGAGTAAGGGATTTTTATAAGCTATGTGCATATGTATAGAATTAAGAATTATTTTGTTTAGTTAATTTGGTAAGCGATTTGTTGTTGGTACACATATAATTTTAATTTGTGTCGGCGTTGAGAGTGATTTGGAAATATACAGTTTGTATAAGAGAGAATGAGAAAAAGATCAACGCTGTCATAGAGAAAGAGAGAAGGAGAGGGACTTTATGATTTTGACTAGATAGAATGAGTGAGAGTTGCAACGGGCTGCAACGGAAACAGAACTCTATAATTCGAAAGAGAGAAAATATATAACATAGATGAGATTGAGTGAGAGAGAGCATAGAACGTTTAGGCTAGGCTTAAACAAAAGGTGTTGTCACTGTATATGTATATGAGTGAGTGTGTAGTGCATATTCGCATGCGGAGAGATGTGTGCTGCTTGCGCAACTCGTTCAATGTTTGACGGTAATTTCAACACACACTTTCAAACTGATGATTTACGACTATTGGTTAATTTTCTTTTCGAAACTTTCAATTTGCATATGCGTAAAGCTCCCAAAACTTCAAAAACAAAATCTATAACGACGATAGATACACTATTTTCGCGCTACCTAGACAATATCGCGTCGCGAACATACATATCATATATTGGTTACCATAAGCCGATTGTATCTACTGTAAAGATTTATGAATCTGACGAAGAGAGTATGAAAATAGAAGAAATAAATTAATAATAAATTTTAAAATAATAAATTATTTTAAATATGTACATATAAGATATGGTTATTTCCGAATGTTCCTATATCACTAACGTTTAGAAACGTCACTGAACTACCACTTTTTTCTCATTCTCTCTCACCAATATTGCTTTCTGCGTTGCACTTGACTTTTTTTAATTTATTTATTTTTTTTTAATTTTTTTTTTTGTTAATTTGGTAACTGATTTGTTGATTGTGATCACATAGTTTTATTTAATTATTTTTATTTAAATTTTTTTTTGTGTCCTTTCCAAGATTTAACTGTAAATGTATGCACCAGCTCAAAGCAAGTGCATTCTAAATATAAATTATAATATGTATGTAGCATACTTTTAGGCGTAAATGTTATATTAATTCTTTCAAATGTTGTATCTATGAAATATTGTATTTCTCAAATTGTTTGCTATGTAATTAATAAGAATTAAATAAAATTTTGCTTTCGACATAAGCTTTCATTAATTATGCATATAACGTTCGAGATTTCTCTGAATTGTTAATTATTTAACGAAAATTTCATTTTGAAGATGAACATATTTTTTTAGTAATAAATGAGTTAAACTAATGTTGGACAAATTAAATTTATTATATTGTATAATATATAATCTTACTTATATATGCATTAAGTTAGGGTTATACACACATATGTATTTTGCTTTCAAACATCCTTATAATTTTATTTGTTGCGTTAGTGATTGAGTAATACTTCAATAACTATACTTAGTTATATGTATCTTTTTAGTATAAATGAGGTACACATATAACATTAAATGGCATATACGAGCACACACATACATTTATATTGATATAAAAATATTTGTAAAAGTGTAAGTAAAACAAATCAAAAGAATTAAATTCACAAGAATTAAGCTATTTTACATATACATATGATACATATATGTAAATGTACATGTATATAAAAGTATAAAAAAGAGAAATGTAAAAATGTATAAAGAAAATAAAAAATAAAGTGATTATCTCTAGAAATACGAAACTTTTTGATATTCTTCTTACGCTAATATTATAACATTATGTAGATAGCATTTTTACAAAACCTATTAGGGCTCACCATATTTGAGTAGAGTCAAATGTTCTAGTGTTCTAAAAGCGGCTAAGTTTTGAAAACACAAACAACTACAATTTTAATAATGCAAAAAGTGGTGAAATTAAAATTTGTAAAATTTATTTATCTTATATAATTTCATAACAACGTTTAAAAATTTTTTGAGCAGCGCATTCTTTAAGATTGAATGCTGCTTTTGCCAATTTATTTCCACTAATGATTTGATTTTTTTTATATTTTTTTCATTAATTACACTTTTATGTAAAAAATTTGTATTTTTTTTTTTTATTATTCCTTTACGCGCACACTTACATATATATGTATATATATATATGTGCTTAAACTTACTCTCTCCATTTAGCGAATGAAAGCAAATTAACTTGCCACCCACAGAAGCAAGCCATTGAGTTAATAAATACTTAAGTAGAAGCTTAGCAAAAGCTTAATGTTGTTGTTGCCTATTGCCATAATGCATACATACATACATACACGTATATTGCTATTGTACAATGAATTAATGGTATTTTCGTTAAAGCCGAGATACCAATCATAGTTGTGGTTGTGTTTAAATTTGCAATTCGAAGCTGTGAAAAATTGTGAAAAGCAAAAAGAAACCAGAAGGCATAAACTTGTTTGTGCGCTGTAGGAAATTTTGTCTTCACAGCATTTCCTCTAGTTACGAGAAAGACGATCTGATTGAGGAATACTAAAGCACTGGGCGCTGTTCTATTATGGCGGCGAAGAAGTGACGAGGTGCTTACATGAGCTTTTTGGCTCAAAGACCATTTATAGAAACTGCGTTAACAACTCTGTAAAGTTACGAGGAGCTCGATCTGTCGTGCTCGTGAGTCACGAGTAATACAGCTACAATTTAGGTCAGAATGTTGTAGTAGTTCCAGATACTACTTCTCCAGTCTAGATTCCGAATTGCTTAATACTCATGTCCTGCCTGCAGTGAGTCCCCGCAAGACGGTAATTACCATTTGCCATGCCCCAAGCTGTGCCGAAACCCTCGAAACAGCTCGTTTTCGAGACCAGCGTTAGATGACCCTGACGATAGCGAATAACTTTGCCTACTCCTAGGCGGGCTTTATATGGATTTAAATCTGGTAGACCCTCCAATGGCTAGATATTCTCAATGCGACAAACCCTGTGGGAAAATAACCGAAACAAGCTACCTCCTTCATCGACTTTTAAGCGAAAGATCAATGAGTCGCGTTTTAAATGAAAACAAAACCACATATGTGTGTAATCAAACAAAAAATCGACGCATCCTAGTCTTGTGAAAGCCAAACACTGTCAAGTCACTGGTTACTGCCAAAACTGAAAGCTAAAGTTGTAGAACCAAGGAATCAGCATCTAAATCAACTTTTGTATCAGCCTGGCAATTGAATGGAAAATCAGAAGATCCAACATTGGGCTGAGTAGGCGATCGAAAAGTTAATTCCTCTCTTAACGAACAAAGACCAAGCTCCCGAAGTCGCTAATCATTCCTGTCTTCCTTTATGGTGCAAAAGCGTCGAGAGAAAAGTTTTGGATATGATTTATTGTTCTTTGCGTAAGACACATGGCGAATACCGTAACGTTGAGCTATGTAATATAAACAGTAACCATGGCAGGGCGCCTGAATAAAGAGGCAACTCCCTCTTTAACTACATTTTATATCGCCTAGATGGATGATAGTGCTGTACATTGAGAATATAATGAAGCGGAGGAAGATGAAAGATCAAGTGGAGTGGAACTTGGTTTCAATTGGCGCCGATCTGCGAAGAGAAGACTTTAATCGATAGCATATGCCGTATCTGTCCCAAATAGGAAGAAGAATAGTGTACTATTCTTTGATCCACGAGACCTAACAAACTAGTCTTATTGATACTTTCTTATCAATTTCCTAGACAGCTTTGAAGCTTTTAGCGTTAGAGATCTCTGTGATATTTACGAGGTAAAGCGAGTTGTCTAACAACTCAGTTGGTATTAAACCGGCACCTTATTAGAATCTTTTTCCTACTGGAAATTATTATATGATTTAATACGCTCATACATATGTATGTTGATTTGTATGTACGAGTATACACAGCGTGCTTTTGTCATTTGCCCAGTTTATCCTCAGCAATTTGGTGGTTTTAAAAAATGAAACATATTTATAACTCCAACCATCGCTCCCTACACTCTTCCCCATGTTAACACACATACACACACACGCACACAAACAATGATTTCGGCAGCAGCTCCTGCCAACTGATGCAACTCATGGCCACTTATCATTTTTATGCGCTATTGTGGGATTTAATTCGACCGACAGCCACCAGCCGCCGACAGCTGCCGCAACATTGGTCGCTCGTATATCAATGCTTAAGCCGGTAATAGTGCCACTTGGGCAATATAACAACAATGGCTAAAAAAAAAATAAAATAACATTTTAAAATAAATTATAAAAGAAACAACAAAAAGCTGGTTTGCATGCGCATACATATGTATATACAATATTTGCAACTGTGTATGTGTTTATGAAGTGCAATTCATTTCCCAGCATTTGAGACAAATTACGCTTGACTTCAAAGCGAAGCAAAAACAAAAAAAAAATTAAATAAAAAATGTATTAAATACGAGTATATATAATAAAAATGCTAAAGAATATAAATTTCGTTCTCAAAAGCTTCTGTATGAAAAAGATGTTTGCATATTAATTTTCGAAAACCATTTGAGCCATTTAGGCCGCACGCAATTGCGTCAGTCATGCGTTTTGTAAGACAATATTCGACATGCGCTGCCGCAGTTAAGCCGTTTAATGGCGGTTTGCTGTGGAAGTTGCTTAGCCGCGAGCCGAGTCGAAGTTTCCATTGTCGCGCAACGCAACGAAAAGTCAAATGAGTGACGGATAGACTAAGAAAGCGACGCTTTCATGCCTCATATATTCCCTTCATATTCAATTACATTATGCTAATAATTTAATATACAATTTCGTACGGCTCATGTTGGCTTGGGGAAATAGTAGAGGTCTTAGTATTGTAAGGTGTAGCACAAAAACTTATCATCGGTACACGGTATTAACAACCTCATAAACTGACTGTATCCGAATCATGAGTTGAGTATAAAAGCTTTAAGGTGATCTCTCTCTCTCTCTCTCTCTCTCTCTTGAAAGACTAGGGTTGCTGTTGCGGAAGTTGCAGCAGCTGCCCTACCTTAGGTGCTGGCAAAACTAGTCCAAGTCATCGAGATTTAACGGGAAGTTCAGGATAAGCGCTGTTTCTACGTGGAAAGGGGTAGTTAGACGAATACGTGACATGCAAGAAGGTGATTAGTGTCGTGTGTTTACTTGTTGCTTTCAGGACATACGTTGAGTATTC